CTGACCAAATTGTGAATGTTTTTATTATATAGCTTTGAAATGACAGAACTGTAGTTCTTTTTTTCTGATTTTGACGAGTTCTTTTGTTGTTGTGGTACAACAAATTCTAAAACTGATACTAATGTAGGTATATTATTAGTAGTGGGACATATTATTATAACCAGGAAAGTAAAATTGAAAATATTGATGTACTTTAACAAAAAATTGCTTAGTATTGTAACAGGGCTATTAAGTTGAATTTGAGGAAAATACTGTTAATACCTTCAAAAAAAGATGACAACAAAGAATGTATATGTGAGAGACCCTTGACGAATGTATGCAGTAGGTTTTGCAATCAAATAAACAAATAATGAGCGTTCAAATAAAAACGTGGTCGAAGTTGGCTCTGACACATTGGACGTAGGGAGTAGCTTATATCGACCAACTTAACCTCATTTCTCAACGAGCTGTATAGAAGCTGTCAGTTTCAATAACGTTAATGACTATATAACTTTATTTTAAAGAATAATCGTGATAACAATAACAAACAATTAAAGGAGCTGCGGAAAGTGTCCCCCTCCTTGTTATAACAATAAATTAAAGCAGCTGCTGAAAGTGTCCCCCTCCTTGTTCCAAGCACTTTTCACACCTGTTCCTCAAAGAATTAAAGACATTTTCTAAGATGCTCGGGGTATTGTTAATTTCACGAATCTTGTCTATAAGTCGAGCCTGCAGATGGTTTAAATCAGGAATAGGCAGTTCAAAAATAGTGTTTTTAAGGTAAGGCCACAAAAAGAAATCACACGGCGTAATATCACATGACCTCGGTGGAAATTCATGTTCAGCATTGAGACTTATTAGTCGATTTTGGAAAACTTCCCTCAACATATTCATCGTCTCGCCTGCCGTATGTGCCCTTGCGCCATCTTGTTGAAAGTAAAAGTTTGTAATTTCGTTTTCTTCCAGCTGGTTAACAAAAGGAGCGATAATTTCTTCTCTATACCTTTGCGCAGTAAGAGTACCATTAAAAAAAATAGGTCCATAAATCCTCCTTCGATTGAGAGCACACCAAACTCCAATTTTTTGAGCGTGTAGAGGGCCCTCGACAAAAAAGTTATCTGGTTTTTCAGAAGACCACATTCTCATATTCTGTGAGTTTACGTAACCACTTAAATGAAACCAGGCTTCATCAGAAAAAAAGGTGATATTATGAAGTTCACCGTAGTTGTTTAAAAACCATTCACAAAATACAGCCCGTCGCGGAAAATCAACTTCATGAAGTTCTTGCTGACAAGTTAAACGATAGGAGAACAAACGCAAATCTTTTTTTAACACTGTGTGGCAGGTACCGACTGATACTCCCACCATTTGTGATAAAACACGTACAGAAGTTCTTGGCGCATTTTCCATTATTTGTTGGACATTTTCTTTTAATTCTTCAGTCCGCTTTTTAGGTCGGCCGCTTCCTTCTTTTCTTGTTACACTGCCCGTTTCACGAAAAACATTAACACAACGCTGAACTGCACTTTGAAAAATTTTGTACTCAACAACGCCGGGAAATTGATTTTGAAATTCTATGAAACATTCCTCAATAGAATACTTCCATATTCCATCAATCTTGCGTCCATTTCTAAAGTAGGACTCTATGATAAACACTTTTTGTTCTTGAGAAAACACCATTTTAAACGCTTTTTAAAACGAAAATATTCAAATTGATGACGTTTAAGTTCATTTGCTATACGCTACGCCCTACGTCCAAACTTTCAGAACCAACTTGACCACGTTTTTATTTGAACGCTCTTTAGGATTATCAAGGACAAGCGCTTGATGCGCTGTTCCATGACAACACCAATATCGACTGACCCTCACATAATAAATAATAATATAAATAATATAAATTTTGAAATCGGTAGGTCGAAACGTTTTCCTTTGCTGAGTCGGCAGTTTTATTAAAAATTAAGGGAGCAGGTTTTTTGATCCTTAAACATCAATTAATGATTAAGATGAAACAAATTTGTTTGCGTTATTCTCACAATTTCGCGTTAAATACTTATCAAATACCGGAAAAAATAAAATTCTATTTTGAAAAAAAACTTAAATTTTTAAAAAATGTTAAATTTTTTTTCATTTTTATAAATTTACATTGAATATTTCAAATGTCGAGAAAAATTTTTTTAATTTAAAATAAGAAAATATTTTTTTTATTTTTAAAATTTATTTGCATTCTTTTTTATAATTTTACATTGAATATTTGAACTGTCGAGAAAAATAACATTTTTCAATATAAAATAAAATTAAAAAAAAATTCAATTTAAAAAAAATCTAATTTTTTAAAAATTTTTTAAATTTATTTGCATTATCTTTTTTATAAATTTACATTGAATATTTCAAAAGTCGAAAAAATTTTTTTTAATTTAAAATAAAATTTGGAAAAAAAAATCAATTCTGAAAAAATCAAATATTTTAAAAAATTTTAAAATTTATTTGCATGATCTTTTTTATAAAATTTGGAAAAAGAAATTTAATTTTCAAAAAATATAAAAAATTTTTTTGCAATATCTTTTTTATAATTTCACTGATTATTTCAAATGTGGAGAAACAAATTTTTTTTAATTAAAAAAATTTGAAAATTTTGATTCTTTTTCAAAATTTTGAATTTATTTTCGATACTGCATTATTTCATTTAATTTTTCTGCTGCTTAACATGCTTCAATGCAACTCATTGAAGCTTTGTAGACGGTGGAATGGTACCCCAGTCGAATTTGCGATTACCCCCTTAGCAAAAGGAGCAAAAAGCAGGCTGCGGACCGTGCGGGGTCCGGGTAAACCCGGAGAGTGCGATACGGCTGGCCGGCGTGGGAACGGTCGTCGGCGGTGACGTGAAATATTGGTGGGAGCGGTCGGCGGTGGCCGGGGGCGACAGCTTGATCCACCATCTCGACTGCAACCGCTCCGCTACCTCCACCGAGAGAGCTTGCCACTTGCTCTCGCGGACTTTGGCAGGTAGTCGCGTCTACGATGGGGCGTGACCTTGATTTAGCCTTGATTTCGCTCAAGGACGGGACCTGGAGTGCAGTTTTGAAAGATAATGTAAACCAGCTGAATCAGATGAGCGGAAATCGTTTAAAAATTTTACAGTTTGGAAATTGTATTCGATAAAATAGGGAATTAGGCCAGGAAAATAGACTGGGAATGATAATTTCGCGATTTTTTGTTCGACAAGCTGAATTTATCACTATAGATGCTAAATATTATGTACAATAACATATTAGTTTCCACAGTCATAAAAATGGGTGAAGATTGTTTACAGGGTGGCTACTTGTATAATTTTTACGTAAATTCACGTTTTTTGCTTATAACTTTTTTCCGTTCATTTCCACGAGAAAACAGTAAAGTACTTTTTTTTCGTCTCCAAAAGACCTACAAAACTAGCGTAAAATAATATTGATTAAATCAAAAATTATAAATAGAGGAAATTTATTTATGACTTTTAAATTAAACATTTATAAACTGCGTTATTAGGTATTACCAGAACGTTTTGGCATCGCATCCTCTCATTCCTTATCACTGTCTAATAACTCGCACGAAATCTGGAATAGGTAAGTTGAATAGTTTACAAGTTATGGCCTTAGAAATAAATTAACTAATTAGTCTGGACGATCCCGAGGATCTTCCACAATCGCACTGATTTTTTTGATGGTAGATTTCATAATAATACATTGAAATCTATCATTTTTTAATATTTTTTAGCCTTAGTTGCAAAATGAAATATACGACGCACGAACATGATATAGTTATATATTATTACATATTCGGAAAGCTTATGAAAACAGCTTTAAGTTAAAAAAAAAGTCGTCAAGATTCGTTGAAAAACAACGGAGTTACAGCTTGCCGAAACAAAAAGTCGCGTCCAACTTTATATTTCCTGGCCTAGAATGTGTGAAACGGTGGAATGAGTCGATATGAAGCTTTTGTCTAATAATATTTCAAAATGTTGTGTAAGAAACAGTAATTACATGTATTAGTAAAATTAAAGACAGTTTTAATTTTATAAATTATGGGCGTTCACTTTACACACCACCCTATTGTGCAAGTGAATAGCCTGAATAAATCAACTTTTTGTACTAGAAAGGTGAGAACGGTTATTTTCTACTTGCTCCTCTTTCTTACCATAAATTCGCCTTCGGTTTGATTATCTCTGTCAACATAAATCAAACAGTCTTCTTTTTTAACCCTTTATTTTACTTCACTGCACTCTCTTTACCTAATAATGTGCTCTAGCGACTTAATGAAATGAACAAGCTATAAAACACCGATTTAGTTCACAGAATCGTCATTTATATTTGACTTGCAGAAGTGCTTCCTCCTCGTCATTGTCCATCAAGGCTGATCTCTACGCTTTTATCAGCTGCTGAAGTCGCGATACAACCAACTGAGTCATTCTGCATAATTTTCATGAAAATCATGATCACACGTTGTGCATTTCATGCTAGCCTGATTAACAGTTTAACTAGAAATGGAAAAAGAATGTTTACTATCTTTATGCAAAGTATTCACTGATTGTAATCGTTTTAACTTTATCAGTTGGTAAGTACTTAATGAGAAATGATTGAAAGCGTGATAAAGATCAATTATTGTGGATATCCTGTGGAGAAGTACAGCCTATATATTAATAGGAAGTTAATTACCTGTTTACTTCTTCCTATTTTTTATTTGTTTCATCATTGGAAGCACTAAGTTTAAATCGTGACTAAAAATAACTGCAGATGTTAACTACGAAGTAAATTGTAACAATTATTTGAAAGTGATTATCTGGTGTATGGAAATAGTACTTTTTGTGAAGCCACAATAATTTATCGCAAACTTCAAGAGAATAAGCCACTAAAGAGTTAGTTATCGGAACTACTGCACAGCATTATTAAACTACCCCTGTTATTTAATTACTATCCCGATACTATATTGGTCTATATTCCATATTGTTCGCTATTACACATTAGTTATGAGTCTTTTTTTCTTTTCAGATTGGTGTTCAGTGCAAAAACGACAGACGGTGAACATCTCTCAACGAAGTAAGTACAGAAAAATAAAATTTTCGTAAGTCCTTTCACCTCTATAATTGTAGCTGCTTATAACTGTTTGCATTCTTAAATAATACCAATAATATTAACATCTGCCATTAAGATTTACAGTTATCGGTAATAGGAAACAGGCCAAAAATATGTAAATAAGAAAAAGACGAAAACGTTTCGTTCGAGTGTAGTTCGCGCAAAAATGTTGTTTGTTTTGTAGAAATTATTGATAATTACTGCAAGTACTTATAAATGGAAAAAGATACAGAAGCTATTAGTAACGTGATTAAAAATAACGCATCTACATTTTGGAATAATCGACAGTCAAAGGTCGTTCTATCTTCCAAAGACTTTGCCGAGTAAAAACTAAGTTATAAATAACATTAATGTGTCAATTAGAAAAATTCCAAACGAATTTAAATTAAAAATTGGTGGAGAACTAAGACTGGTTGTAATCTGCACAAGTGTGATCTGATAAAAGCCTCTGTTACAATAACGCCTTGTTACAATTAACGCCGGTTCGATGTTAATTGTAACAATGCAATTTTTGTTACAATAAACACTAATCTCTGCTACAATTTAGCCCTCTATTTCCTTATACAAAAATTGAGGTGAGAACAAACACACGACGCAAATGGCAACGTAGCACTTGTAAGATAAACGTATAAACAATTTTCCATGGATTTTTTAACACGAGTTTACGTTACACATAACCAAAACAACTCTATTCTGTTGAAGACACCCGAAAATTTCGTTTAATTAACATACAGACCAGGACTTTCCAAACAAAAAAAAAATAGCGACATAAAAAACCACAGATGGTCACTTCTGGTTAATAAATATGCATATTGTTCGCTTTTTACACTCTTGTGGGTGGACCAGCTATTATTGCGTCACACGTGAGCAGGAAAAAAGGCAGTTTACTTTTAGCACTTGGCAATTACGCACACGGTCAAACCAAAAGTTAGCTCGGTCTTATACGGGAAAGGTCAATGGCTCGAAATTATACTTTCATTTATCATTAATGTAATGAATGGTATAGCACGGGTTGCGACGGACTGGATATACATTTTGCAACGCTACGCTATAATAAAGCAGCAGACGTATTCATACCTAGAGAACACCTCATTAAATGTTACGGTTGAAAAATACGAGGATCTAATTGGCCTTGTTGCCACATTGCGTCGACTTTTATTCTTGTACTTAACACTCATTATGTTGTTAGGAACATCATTTCTGGGAGCCTTAAGAAAACATAGAGGTGTATTATTTATAAGACTCAACCTTTTTGGTCAAGGTAAATCGTTGGGAGTCGAGGGGAAGTCGAAATCTATTTAGTCATCGCTCTGAATGGTTATGTGATGTTTATGATCTTGGACCTCCAATTGAGTGAATTGATTGAGTACTTATTTTGTTTTATAAATTTTATTATGGTCAATATTTAAGGTATATTGATTTAAATTTTAGTATTACAGTGAAGATGTTGTGACAAATTTTCGAGACTGATTACTCCCATCAAAATGAAGAGGAAAAAAAAACAATTGCCTTTAGAAGATTCCTAGGAGTTCTAAGATCCTACCTTATTATTTTTTTGTCATCGAAAATAGGTATCATATTTCAGAAATTGATTGATAAACATAGTACTAGTACAAAAATATCGTCCTTGTGGATTAAAAATTTTGCTCTCCATTTTGCCAAATATACTTCACAAAATTTTTCTACTTTGCTCTAAAAAAATAAGTTTCCACTTGACTGACCAGAAAACTAAGTTGATTTCAGTTAGTGTCTTCCAAATTTGTAAAGACCCTGCATATTGTTAGTATTTTCTTAATTCGATTGAATGTTTATCAGACTTTTCTTGTAACCAGACATCGAGGCCATAAAACTTTTAAAACACAGTTATTTAAATGTTTTGATCGTGAAATGGTACTAAGATAGGTGCAAAGTTATAACATTATTACGTAAATTAATTAGAAAACAGCAACTTGGGTGGCCAGCTGTCATATTGGTAAGCAATTATCGTTATCTAGAAAGTATGCTTTACGAAAACGAAAGAAAGTGTCGTGTTTGTCAAATATTTTTACAATCATTCATTAGTAGGGTGATTGTTATGAGTGAACTTCATAACATTAAATGAGGTAATACTGCATTTCAAAACGTTTTATTATTTTTAGTACCTATCCTGTATTTTAATTCTTATTTAATAATTTTTATTTCCCACATCATAAATCTTCATTTTAACCAGCACCTCTTCCCTGGAAGCTTTAGCAATTCGCGTAATAGTAACAATCTCAGCAAGAAATTTAGCTATTTCTTTCCTTGTGAAGATATTGATTTTTTTTTGTTCTAAAACCATAATATTCCCGCCTCAAAAATGGTTTCAATTTAGAATATTTAAAAGAATCCACATTACTCAACCCCCAATGCCATTTAAATATTTTGGGGTGATGCTTACCCTTGCTTGGGGGTGAAAGTGGCGGAGTCAAATATACCAGCAAAGAACACCCCTTTAATCTAAAATCGACGGGTCTGAGAGTTTTTCTACAATCAAATCAACAAATCTTTTGAAAAAGTTATCAAAGCAACCATCCTGTTGAATGACTATATGACAAATAGTATACTGGGTTTACAATCAGGCGGAACTATTGAGAACTACTACATCCAATGAGATCAAGTTTTTGCCAGCATTAAGTACATGAATGAGAAGCTAAAGATTGTTGCGTTAAGATAATAATTATATTCATCTCGTGTAAGCACGTTCTTTGCTGCATATTTTACGAATAATTTTAATGTATCATTAAAAATAATAACCGACATTGTCGTTCCCCGGTATTCTCTCATTAAGTATATAAGCAGAAATGAGATCTACACAAAAACGTAAGCCTATTAATATTATTAATTTAGTGATCATTCATTATCATTATTCAAATTAAACAAAACGAAAGCACACGGAGAAGCGGTAAACTCGTGTTTATTTTACTACTTTTTATAATATGTTTATATAAACAGGTTCTGTAACTGTACTGCCGCAAATGCGGGTATCGAGCGAAAATAATATAAATTAAGAAAGAACTAGAGATCCCCAGATAATGTAATATTTTACTTCTTATGACTGTCCTCTTTCTTTATAAGGATATACAGAGTGTTCCATTTAAAACTTCCCACCTGGAAAATATCGGTAATATAGGTTCCAAGATATAAGTAAAAAACTCAGATAAAATATATTTTTTAATTTTTTAAACATTTTTTGCAAATTTGAAAATGTTCCGGACCTCGCCCAGATCTAGGGAAGCACACTTTTGTTATGTAAGTTGTACTGAAGGTATTCCAGAAAAAATTAGCTTGCCCCCTCTTACATCCAAGAACTGGGATATTTTGACAGATCCGCCTTGATCTAATTGTATTATCGAAACCGAGAGAGTTGCACTAACCAAATTTGGACAGGACATAGCTAGCACAATGCGAAACATCCCCTTAATGTTAAAAATGTTGTCACCGCCGTTCTTGGTGGTGAAAATTCGGAATATTTGGAATTATTCAATTTTCATCGCTGAAAATATATAGGTATTGTATTTTCAAAACCGAGAGAGTTGCACTAACCAAATTTGGACTGGACATAGCTAATACATTACGAAACATCACCATAATCACCATCGAAATTTTTGGAATTACTCAATTTTCGTGGCTGAAAACATACATATATGGTTTCGTCAGGATGGTGCTCTACCACATTATGCTGTAGCTGTGCTTGATTTTGTTAATCAGAACTTTCCAAATGACTGGATAGGACGCAGAGATTCAATTGAGTGGCCTCCCAGAACGCCAGATGTAACACCCTTAAACTTTTTTCTATGTGGACACTTAAAGTCGAAAACTTGCAGCACTCACTTGAGGAACTTCGTCGATGAATTGTTGAAGAATGTCGTCACAAACGCCCGAAATGCTTCGAAATGTTCGTTCGGAAGTGGAGCAAAGATTTTATTATACAGGGTGTCCCGTATATTTATCATATTTTCGGAAACTTATATTCAACGCTATGGTTCCCACAACAAAAAATTTGCAATGTCACAATTGCAAACTCCCGTTCATCAATTTTTTATAACTGTCCATGTCCATGCTACGAAGACATTGTATGTGTATATTTATTTAGATTCAACAGATCTCAACGTTAGATGAAACATCGCTAACAGTAAATGCATTGGTACTCAATTCACGACTCTAAAATATACCTGTGTCGTGTATTGTTATTATAAATGAATTGTAAATGTAGTATAAATAATCTATTAGATCCTTAATCGGTCTGAAGCTTCCTAGAGTTCCTTGTAGAAGCAATGTAAACACTTCTTCAGAACCGTTCGCCGAGAAGCCCGGGGGCAGGATATTTTTTATACATTAGTTTGAATCAACAACGTTTCAATCCGTTCTTGCAAGGAGGCATTCATCAGAGATGAAGTGTCCCTATCAGTTGCACCGGTAACTTGATATCGCAGGATATTTTCTCTGTTAAACCTCAACTTGTCTTTTCATTATATCGGTGATATTTTCTTTTAATTTTGATATGTCCTTTTATTGTTTACCTCGACTAATCAAGCTTGAAATTGTTTAATAAATTTTGTTGGTTTCTTTCATAATCAAGGACTAGATTTTTGGAAAGCGCCTACAGTTTATGCTCGAATTGTTCGTTTTGTAATCGCTATTTTCATATATTTTGCCTAAAACATTATTTTTTCCTTTCTAATGTAATTATTCCCTTTTCAATACCACAGTACAGTGTGTTTCAATGAAAACTAAATTTTACTTTAGAGTAACCCTGATTTCTTGTTAAGTATTTCTGTCTATTTTTTTTTCATGCAAATTCGATGTGTTTTCACTGTTAACGTTGATCCAGTCAGTTGTTCTTCGATTGAGTGAAATTTTCACTCTATTAGTATGAGTACAGCTGAGTGAAACTATTAACTATACTAAGGAAGACATTGGCACTTAATTTTCAGATCCCTCAT